GTTAATGATCGCAAACTGACGACTATGCAAATGAAGGGAAGCAATTATTAACTCCAGCAAAAACAAAGTTGTCAAAATAGTAACAAAAACCTATGGACCACAGTTCAAGAAAAAATATCACTCAACTGGACTTCATTAAAATTAAATATTTCTGTTCTAAAGCCACTGTGACAGGGGTTTCCCTGGCGGTCCAGTGGTTAAGACTCCACGCTTCCACTGCAGGGGGTACGATCTCTGGTTGGGGAACTAAGATCCCACATGCCATGTGGTACGGCCAAACAAATAAATAAACTACTGTGACAAGAATGAAAGGCCAGTCTGGGAGAAAATATCTGCAAAGTATGTATCTGAGAGAGCACTTCAACCTAGAATACACAGATAACTTTTTTTTTATATAAGATTTAATTTTATTTATTTTTGACTATGTTGGGTCTTTGTTGCTACGCACAGACTTTGTCTAGTTGTGGCGAGCAGAGGCTATTCTTCGTTGCGGTGCACGGGCTTCTCGTTGCAGTGGCTTCTCTTGTTGCGGAGCATGGGCTCTAGCTCTAGAGCTCAGGCTCAGTAGTTGTGGCACATGGGCTTAGTTGCTCTGCGGCATGTGGGAATCTTCCTGGACTGGGGATTGACCCCATGTCCCCTGCATTGGCAGGTGGGTTCTTATCCACTGCGCCACCAGGGAAGTCCCCCACAGAGAACTTTTACAACTCAATTATAAGACAAAAACCCAACTGAAAAAAGGGAGACAAAGATCTGAAGAGACATTTCACCAAAGAAGATAAACAAACAGCAAACACTATGTGAAAAGATGCTCGATGTCGTTACTTCGTTAGAGAAATGCAGACATGGAAATGCCCCAAACTGGAAACAACCCAAATGTCCATCAACGGAAGAATGTATAAACCACGGGTCACCTCCACGCAGCGGAAACTACTTGCCACGAAGGCAGGATGGTCTGGAGGTACGTGGAACATTGGGATGACTTTCAAAACAATCATGAGATAAAAGAGGCCAGACCAAGAGAGAGCACAGCACACACTACTCGAGTCCATTTACACAAAACTTGAGCAAATGCACACCGAGTCTCAGGGCAGAATACACAGCAGTGGTTGCCTGGCAAGGGGTGGGGGGCACGGAGGGAGAAAGGCACGAGGTTTTCTGGGGGGCCCCAGGAAATGCTGGGGGTGACAGGGCCATTTGCTAGCTGGGCAGGTGTGTACTACCTAGGCAGGTGTGCACGCATGTCCATCTCATCATGCTTCCACTTCAGACGTGCAGTCTGCTGCACTGCAGTCAGACTGCTCTGTCTGAGCTGAGTATTCCCGCCAGCACCGCACAAAGGCTATACTGGACACCGATTTAAGCAAAAGTTGTCATCGTTCTATTGGGTGGGGTGAGAAGTGGTATAAAAATGCTAAATCCAAATCTCCTAGAAAAACATTAATTAAATAATGTCCAAAATTAAAAAGAACAGCACAGGGACTTCCCTGGCGGTCCAGTGGTTAAGACTCCGTGCTTCCACCGCACGGGGTGCGGGTTTGCTCCCTGGTCGGGGAACTAAGATCCCGCATGCCGCACGGCATAGCCGAAAAATTAAAAAAAACAAACAAACATGAAAAACAGCAGCACACACCTGCCTGTTTACATGTATGGAAGCAAACACAGGCAGACGACATGCAGGGCTGAGAAGAGGGCCTCGGCGCGTGGGGGGCAGGGAGACTTATTTTTAAGCCAGGGTGGGTGCTGCTTTCATATAAATTCAACTCCAGCCGTGGGGCTCAGTCGCTCCCCTCCCAGGCATGCGTGAAGTGTCCACACAGACACTTGTGCCGACTGCTGACACCAGCGCTATGGAAACTGGTCAAAACATGGAAACAGCCCAGATGTTCATCAACTGGGGAATGGAATCCACACAGTGGAATATTATTCAGCTATAAAAAGAATGGAGCCGACACGCTACAACGTGGATGCACCTCGAAGACACATGTTAACTGAAAGAAGCTGGACACAAACGGTCACAATGGGTCAGTGCACGCTTCCATCCATACGAAACGTCCAGAGCAGGTAAAGCCACAGACACAGAGAGCAGATCAGTGGCTTCCAGGGGCTGGGGGAGGGGGAGGGACTGCTAATGGGGACGGCTTACATTTTGCGGGTGAGGAAAAGTTTGGGAACTAGATATGGTGATGGTTGCACAACTCTGTGAATACATCAGAAACCAGTGAATTGTACACTTTCAGTGCTGAGTTGTATGGCGTGTGAATTACATCTCAGTAAAGCTGTCGCCAAAAGAAAAAATTCAGTTCCCAGAGCAGGGCTGACAGTGACCTGAGAAGAAAGGCACACTGGTCTCTGCCCCCGTTCCTGGTACAGAGCTCCTAATCCCTTGTTATCTCCTGGTGATAGCAGCATCCTTTGTTCTAATGAGGCAACTCTGGGTGGGCTCCTGGATGGGGGTGGTCACCAGAAAGACCGAGCCAGGGCTAGAAGTGGCCCTTTGGGCCCCACCCCCATCCTCTGGGAGAGGGGCTGGAGACGGAGCCAACAATCGTTCATGCCTGGAAACCCTTAAACCACTGCGTTCAGAGACCTTCCAGGGTGATGGACACAGCCATGGACTGGGAGGGTGGGGCACCCCGACTCCACGCGGACAGAAGCTCCTGCGCTCGGCACCCTCCCAGACCTTGCCCTGTGCAGCCCTTCCTCCGGCCGTTCACCTGGGTCCTTCGTTATACCCTTTACAACAAACTGGGACTCTGAAGTAAGCCTCCCCGAGTCCCGTGAGCCGCTCCAGCAAACTACCAGGTCTGAGGAGGGAGTGGCGGGAAACCGATTTGTAGCCAAATTGGACAGAGTTGTGGTGAACTGGGGACCCATGACTTGTGCCAGCCTATGGGGTGGGGGGCAGTCCCTCGGGATGGGGCCCTCACCCTGTGGGTCTGCACTGACCCTGGGTAGATGGTGTCAGAAGTGAGCTGAACTATGGGACGCCCAGCTGGGGTCCTCAGAAACTGGAGGGCTGGCTGGTGCAGGAAAACCCACATCTGGTGTCAGAACCGTTGGGAGTAGAGGAAACAGAGTCCTCACCAGCCACCTCCGCAGATGCACAAAGCCCCAAAAGCCCCTGGAGAGAGTTCAAAAACCCACAAGTAAACCAGAAGCTCCCTGATTCAGGCCGGAGCCCAGACAGCTCCTAGAGTGGTGGGTAGAGGGATGTTCCAACCCCCCGCCCGCCCCTTCCATGTGCGGACTCCACAGCAGAAGTCTGCCTGCTGTCCTGCTGTAGCAACAACTCCCAAGGACTCTGCCCACGGGAATCTCACTGCGGTTTCGCACATGCCCACCCTCACTATGGGGCCACGTGGGACCCGATCTCCCCGTGGACAGACCCTCCCCTTCCACACGTGTGTGTGACTGCGGGGAGAAGGCCACCACGATTAACCACGATAGGAAAGCGCCCCTTTCACAGACAGGAGCCGTGTATAAACACACAGGATCACACACAACACCCAACTTTCTTCCAAGGGGTCCAGACAGTGGCTGCAGGAGTCGCAGCCGGGATGCCCAGGAGTGCTGGGCGGGGCCCATGCGTGGCCTCTGAGCTCAGAGTCGGTTGGTTCACGGCCATCGCTGATCACAAAGGGGTCCAGGCCTCCATCTGCCCAAACATCCAGCACGTCACCAGCCAGGCCGAGCCCGCAGGCCTGACCACAGCACCCCGGCCTCCATGTCCTCACGGGGCTGCCCAGGGCAGGTCAGCTGAGCATCCCCAAGAGGCCAGCAGGTTTCCCTCTAGAGCCACAGAGCCGGACACCAGCCAGCTCTGTAGACACTGAAGAAAGGCCCACATCCAGGTGAGCAGAGCCCAGCCCACATGAGGAGTCCAGTCCTGGTCACTCATTCCGCCCAGCCTCGCCTGCACATGGTCGCCTGCCCCTGCTCCCAGCCCAGGAAGGTCCCATAGTTGTGTCTGGCTTTTACACTGTTCTCTGTTCTCAGGAAAACCCGGACGCCACTGTTGCTCTGCCGGGCTGGCAGTCACGACACACAGCACACACACCTGGCAGGCCTGCTGGGGAAGGTGTGGACCCAGGGCCGGGACGGCAGGGCCAGCTGGGCCACCGTGTCCTCAAACAGGGAGCAGCAGAGGGCACCACAAAGCCCGGCAGTGGGCAGGCCTGACTTACGGGGTAGGGCGGTGTGAACAGTTTGAAGGGCGGTGCTGCGGGCGAGAGCGGGCAGCCTCTGCTAAAGGCCGCACCGTAGATAAGACAGAGGCACCTCTGGGAGCTGGAATTAATGGACACACAGAGAAAACAAACACCCTCCAACCTGCCAACAACCGAGAGCCTCTCCAAGGGAGCCCACAGCTCTTGCCATTTCACACTGTGTGCCCCGACTATAAAAGTAACGTGAGCTCATGCTGGAAATGTGCAAAACCCAGTAAAAGCATAAAGAAGATAACCCATCCCAGGAATTCTACCTGTTGAGCTTCTGGGGTCTCCTCCTGTATTATGAGACAAACGGCCCCCAGGGTATTTTTACAAAATCTGGTCACACCATGCTATGGGTTTGCATCCTTTTTTGCTCATTTTTTTTTTTCCTTTTTGGCTCATTTTTATACCAAGAACCTTTCCCCACACCATTAAAGACCATCATCTGAGTCCAACTTTTCACATGGCTCCCCTATGCCGACCATTCAAGTTTTGCCACAAACACCCCCGTAAACGTGGATCTGCCTGTCTCCTCATCCCCACACCGTGCTTCTCAGGGGACCTGGAGCCACCCGGTGCGCCCCATTCTCAGCAGGGTGTGTGCCCCACAGCCCTCGCCAGCTCCAAGGGAACTGCCATTTTAGGAAGTCTTCCCTTGTTGGACAGGGAAAACTTGATCCCAAATCAAAGGACCAGACACAGGACAGGGCGGGGTCCCAGATCGGCATGGGGACATCCAACGACTTCAGGGACTTCCGGGGTCTCTGCCACATTTAGGGGTCTTACCGAGTTCTTTGGAGCCCTGGCTCTCGCTAGCCAGCTCGCCCATCTTCACCAGGGCATCGAAATAGCCTTTGGCAGCATACGTCACACCTGAGAGAAGAGGAAGGGGCAGTCACTTCCCTCGCTGGGAAGTAGCAACACCCGCAGCACCTACTCGGCGATCCTGCCTGCCTGGCAGTCAGCCGCCTCCCCTGTGCCCAGCAGGCTCCAGCCCCGGCAGGACCTAAGCCCGTTTCTTGTTGATGTTCTCTCGTTCCAATCCTGAGAGCTCCTTCTCTGTGTAAGAGCACAGTGTACCGCTTGGGTCCAGAGCTTTTCAAGTCAAATCGCAGTGTGCCACCCTGACCACAAGGCCTGGTGTCTTGACGAGACAAACACCAACCCCAGGCAGGAGACTTGCAAAGTAGGTCGGCAGGAAGACCCCCCCAGCCAACCTGGGTTGAGGACTCTGTCCCCGTCTGTGGTCTCAGAGAGAGCAAGTAAATGGGAGTGAGTCACACGCTCAAAGTGGGCTAAAGGCAGCACCACCGGGACGGAGCCGGGGGACTCACACCACTTCCCAGGGCAACTTCTGCTCTAACCTGACTTCGCAAGGGACTGGCACGGGAAGCGCCGGGCCTGCTGACTTCCTGGGACCACACCTGGTGCCCGCTGCCCGCTGCCTGGGATGGAGCTTCCTCCAAGAACTCGGAGACCCTTCAAGACCCCGGGTGTGCCCACAAACTCCTTCATCAGAAGAGCCCCCCCAGCTGCCCTTCACGCTGGAAGGAGGACGAGGGCGCCTCTGGAGCAGGACCATGGGGAGCACCCGCCAGCAGCATAATTACTATTTCTAATCCGTTTTCTCCAGAACCCAGTTAGGGACTTATTACTGGACACTTGATCACATTTTATTTAGGTAGTTTTCAATTAAGCACACGCAATTTGCTCTGCAGTCTGGAAGTGCGTGCGGGCTCCGCACCCCAGCAGCTGGAGCGCGTCTGCTGCCGGGCAGGGTGGGCTCCTTCAAAGAGATGAAAGGAAAGCCTAGCGGGCCCAGGCCTGGCCTTGGGGCGGCCGAGGGCAGCTGAGGGGCTCTGTCCTTTGGGGCAGTCCAGGAAGATGGGGAAGGGAGGACACCTCCAGGCCCCCCCTCCACAGAACTTTGTTGGGGGCCCAGGTGGGGGTGGAGGAGCCTGGAAGGAGGCCTGTGCCTCATGTCCAAGGGCTGGGGCACGTGAGTGGGAGACCCCAGGCCGGGCCTTGACGGATTCACCCTAGGCCATCGACGCTGGGCAGCTGGGAATGAAGTTACGTCACTCTGAGAGAAAACCCCCGGGGGTAAGATGTCCTTGGGTGATGCTTTCAGGAAAGGAACCACCATCGGCCTGAAATGTGCAGGCCGATCCCTCCAGCTCCAGGGTTGGAACCATCCTGCCACTTTTGGCCCCATGTCCACAGTGTGCGCTAAACATCATGGCCCTCCGTGGTGCAGCACCTACACCTTCACTCTGCCACGGTGTGCTTCTGGAAATACCGCAGTCCCTCCCTAATCAGGCCCCAGGAGCTGTCCACCTACTGAGATGTCCTCACTCGCACCCGCGGGCCAGGGACGTCAGCCTCACCTGCCAGCGCCTTCTCGTAGTTCTTGCCCATGGCGATGAAGTTCCGCAGGCTGGGGTTGAACTGCTCCATGATGGTCTGGAAGAGAGCAGGGAACGGCATCAGAGGCAAGGCACCCGGCGGCTTGGGGGCCTGAACGGCGAGGGGAAAATCCCACAAGCATCACATGCGGGGTCAAGACCATGAAGAGATGGCCGGGCCCCGGGTCCAAATCCCAGCTCTGCCCCTGTTGAATGTCCTTGGGCAAATGACCTTCCCAAGCCTCAGTTTTGACACCTGTACGATGGGGGAAAGAACAGAACCTGCTCCATAGGGGCCTTGCAGATTAAACAAGTGAGCATGCGTGTGACACGTGGGGCAGTACCCGACATACATCCGGCGCTCAGATATGCTGCGCTGAGGTGCCATTACCCCGTCTGGCAGGGCTGAGTCAGCGAGGAAGGTCCCTCCGCAGGCCACACACAAAGGGTTCATCGCTGCCTGGAGCCCCCTCCCACCACGATCTTCATTCAACACATCAATTACGAAACGTCAGCTCTGATTAGAGCAATGCACAGCCTGACTGCAAACACCACACGATGAATAATCCAGCAGGCTCTGGATCCGCTCGCCTGATGGACTCAAGTCTTGGTGCCAATACCACTAGTCCTTAGACTGAAGAAATTAGATTTTCACTGCGAAGGCCAAATAAATGTTTTAATTACAAGGCATAAAAACAGGCACACACAAACAACAGCCAAACGTGAGCGCTACTGGGTAATGTACCCTGATGGTTGGGTGCCAACCCCAGCCAGCGAGAACACTGCAAGGAGCTTCTAAGGAGAACCCCACCTCGGCCACATCCTACATCTTCGGGTCAATTATCGTGATATGTGTCTGATCTTTCCGCAGGGTAAGAGAGAAACGTCACCAGGGAGGGAAAGTTGCCTGGCCCCGTGGGCAGACCGCAGAGCCCCAGGTGCTTCTGCATGAACAGAGGCAGTGCCCGCCCCATCCCGGCCAACAGGCCAAAGGCAGCCCCGGCCCCAGGTAACACCCTTCTATCCCTGTTCCGGGCCCTCAGCCAGCAGGACCGACAATGGATTCCAAGAAGGGCTGTGGGATCTGGGCTCCAGAAAAACCCACTACTTCTGTCGCCCACCCTGAGGAGCAGCCTGGAGTGTCAGCACAAAGAGGAACAGAGACCTGTGCCCAAGGGTGATGAGACCCCGAGCCTGAGCCACCACCTCCTAACATCCGGGGCTGGGTGCCCACCTGCTCTACGCCGTGCAGGGAACCTGGGAAGCAGATACACCTGACACATGCCTGAGTCCAGAGAGCAGGTGCACCTTCCTTTCTGGACACAACAAAGGTGAGGGCACCTGCCACGTGCTGCACCGGGGCTGAGGCACACAGGGGGACGCAGCAGTGACCCCATGGGACAAAGTCCCGAGAGGGAAGGCAGGCCCACCTCACACACCGGGCAGGACCCCGTACCTGGAGAACGAGACAGCAGGACACGGCTCAGGGGACAGCAGGGGAGAGAAGCATGTCGTCGAGAGAGGAGGGCTGCAGGCAGGGGCATGCAAAGGCCCCAAGGCCAGGGCCTGCTGGTGTCAGGGACAGGATGCCAGGAGCAGGGTAAAGGGTGGCGGGAGGTAAGAAGAGGCAGGAAGTGTGCAGTTAATGGCCCAAACCTACTGCCTCGCAGCCCGTGGCAGGGACACCTGCTTTCCCTGACAGGAAGCCGAGGGTCGATCCAACTACATTTCAAAAGGAAATGTACCCCTGACTGCTCCAGGGAGCCCAGGTTGTAGCTGAGACCGCACAGACGCGGGAGACCCCTCAGAGCTGCACAGAAACCTAAGATGTGAAGGTGGATCAGAGAGCTGGCTCCACTGCAATGTGGGATGGGGTCAGGGGGCAGTACAAAGCTCAGTGGTCTGGGGACGACTCTGCAGGGGGGAACCCAAGTCTGGATGCATCCAGTCTGAGGAGTGCCCAGCAGTCAGGGCAGGGATGTCACGTAACAGGCAGCAGACGAGGGACTGGCGTCCGGGCAGGGCGCGGAGGGGAATTCAGTGTGGGGCTGTCTGCCAAGGGTACATGCACAGGCTGGCTGAGCCCTCAGCCTCGCTGCTCAGTGCCACCCAGATCTGTGTCGGGGCAGAAAAGCACTGGAGGGCGCATGTGTCTGCTCAAAGGAAATGGACCGAAAGCAGGGTATAGACCCAATAAGGGTGGCTTCTGTCCCCGATTCTGGTGTTCCAGACATGCACATGCACATCTGTGCATGTGCTCGCGCGTGTGTACAGCATTTCAGTGTAAGATGCATTTCTCGCTGCAGCGATGGGCACAGGGCTGAAAAAGGCCCTGGGGTGGGAATATGTGAGGGCAGACCTGGGCTGCAGAGCTCTAGGACTGCAGCCCCCACCCATCCCGGGGGCAGGAGAGGAAGCTCCACAGCTCCCTCCCTAGAGCCCCAAACATCCTCAATGACAGCAGGAAATAGGCCAGCAGCCACCCAGGCCAACAAAGAGGGTCACCTCGGCAGCCCACCCACGGCCGCCCAGTGACACACGGGGACAGCCGCCAGGTTTCGCTTCCTTAGCACAGCTGCTGAGCTCAGGCACGAGGAATGTGGGAGCGAGGGGCAGGGCAGGAGGGGTGCTGGGGTGTCGGCCAGGACACCTGGCCAGGGCACTGCCGGGTCACACAGGTGCCGCTGACTCGCCTGCCTGGAGGCAGTGGCAGAGGCATAAATGCTGTGGGGCTGGTGTCCCAGGGGGGCCCTCCTTCCCTGGCCAAAAGCCATTCTTCCTCCCTGCTCCTCACAGATGCTGCCCTGGCCAGAGAGCGGGCTCCCATCCACCTCCAGGTCACCGATCTCCTAGAACCGCGACCACCGGAGACCAGCCAGGTCCAAGACGACCTTGTCAGGAGGGACCCTGGTGGCCCAAAAAGGGCCTAGCCCCTCTGGTGGGGGATCCTCTCTGCAGGGGATTTCTCTGTGGGAGGGGGCCCCCGACACTGGGGGCCTCTCAGAGCCTGAGTCCACTGCCATCCTAGGGCTCAGGCAGAGGCATTTGGACCCAGGGGGCCGTGCTAGGCCCATGATGGGCCCAAACCCACCATCAGAAGCCTGGAGTGGGGCCCTGCCACGCCCACTGCAAGTGAGCGCTCCCCTAACCAGCGGCCTGCGCAGCCCCTCCACGCACCAGGGGGCCCTGGGAGGGGAAGCCGGAAGCCAACAGAGGCATGGTTGCCATGGCGAGGAGGCCGTGGGGCTCTGCTACACATTACCCACCCCATGATACTTTTTCAGAAGTGATGGAACGACGGTGTCTTTCCATGGGACTCTTTACTGGAGCAATGGAGGGAACTGAGATGCAAACCCCAAGACGTCCTCCCACGGAGGGCGGGAAGAGGGAGACCTGTTTACTTCCCAAAGGGAAGGGAATGCATTTCCTTATCGACGCCAAAGGGTGTGTGCAAACGAAGGCCAGGCCAGGAGGGTGGCCTCCCCGCACACACCTCTGTCGTGAAACGCCTGTCGTGAAACTCAAGGGCCTGGGAGAGGCTCTGCATCCTGAGACCGCTTTTCCGCAGCCGGGACAGAGACCCGACAACGTGGGCAGTGACCAGCACCTTCTCCAAACTTGACACCTGTGCTACGCAGATGAAACCAAATCCCTTCAAACGCCATGCCGTGGCACGTGGCGACTGTGTGTGCGACCCCCTTGCAGGGGGCGTGGGCCAAGCACTGCGCTCAGCACCTTCTATCACTCCTTGGTTGGCTCAGTACCTACGAGGTGCCCTCAGGAAGCTGGGCTGCCACAAGGGCTCCCTGCCACCCCACCACACAAGCGCCCCAGAAAGGTCAGGGAGAGGAGGGATCTCTGCCGGAGACTCTTGCAAGCTCAGGCGCGGTTCATGGTGGCCCTCTTGCCGAGATGTCCCCACACTGGATGTCCCTGCCACCCCTGCAGTCCCAGGAATCCAGGCCTTAAACCAAATCTCCACGGTAGGGCTGGCCCGCCCACCCCCACCCCGGGCCTCCAGCCCTGCATGTCCAGGGAGCCGATGGGAGGGGCCGGGCCTGGCTGCAGGGGCGGTGGTGTCAGCACCCCAGCAGCCGTGAGCGCAGAGGCCTTCCTGCCTGGCCGGCTCCTGGGCAGCCCAGCGTCTGCACAGTGACGCCCATTTTGAGTGACCTGGATCACGGGTCTGCCTGGCCAGTGAGGACAAGGGGCAGCAGGACGCCCCTATCCCCAATTTGGGGTCGCAAGGAGAGAGGGGGCTCTGTCCAGGGACTGTGCTCCAGTTGCTCCCACGCCCGCGCCCAGGGTCTGCCACTCGCCAGCGCGGGAATTCTATTTATCCCTCACGGCTCTGGTTCCTGGCGACAGCCCCCCTCCAGCACTTTCCTGGCAGGGCTGCCACAAACAAAGAGCAAAGTTTCTCTGCTGACACAGGGAAGTGACGTGCCTCCTGCTTCCCCTCCTGCCCTCCTGCAGTCAAGGAAGGCAGGGTGGGGTGTCTGCCTGCGTCCAGTGCACACGTGCGTATGTGTGCATGTATGGGTGTGCACGCGTGTCGTGGCCAAGCCAGGCTGCATCCTCCCTACACAGTCGACGCCTGTTATAACAAACTCAGGGGATGAGACCTCGCTGGGCTCTATCTGCCATCTGGGGAGGGGCGGCCTTACACCCCATCACCCCGAATCTTCACTGGACTGGTGGGGGGCGCCACTGTCCATTTTACAGACGGATGGAGAGAGGCTCGGGGAGGCTAAGAGCCAGCCTTCTGGGTCCTGGTGGAGCCAGTCCCGGCTTCGACTACAGGCTGGCTGCACAGCCCAGCTTGTCCCTTTCTCCACACGGGCCTCAGTGCTCTCTGGACAGGTCACCGAGGCAGGCAGGACAGGACCAGGTGCCACACAGCAACTCCGCCTGCCCTGGGCTCCCTCACAAGCCACGTTCCAGCAACGTCAGAGCAAGGGCAAGGGCTGATGCCAGGATACCTGGTCATCTGAGGGGGGGGCCTGGTGCCTGACTACCCCTGACCACCTGTCCTCTCATCCCACCTCTGTGGCAGGA